AAAAAGTCATCAAATGTTTGACTGATATATTTGCATGGGACTGAGTGATAATGTGGATTTGACTGGGTAGGTTGAAATTCAGTAGTCACGCTTCAGAAATGTCAACAAAGTCAGGAGCCCAGTCTTGAATATGCCGCTGCAGCTTCGTCGCTCATACCAGTTCACTTTCTTTGAATCAGCTCTGAAGTTGTGTGATTTAAGTGAAGAACACCTGCTCGTACAGTGTATGTATAGTTTTCGTAGTAATAATAATAATTTGTTGCTTTTTTTTTTTTTGTTTTTCTAAACTATAATATTTTTTTTATTTTTATTTTAGACAACAAGCTAAATTTTTAATTTCAAATTTTATAAAAATAATCAGCACCAAAATTATGTGTTTTGTTGAATTTTATTGCATGTATTTATTATTTATTTATTTTTTTTTTGTGAACAACTTTGTTTTTTTCATGTGTGAAAACGTGAAGAACTATAATTATTTGTTGGGGAACTGAGTTCGCATATTCTTCTGATATTAATTAAATAAAAATTGAATTAATTAGATATGTCGCTACATGTGCATATGATCTTTATTTTATTTTTTTTTTTAACGATGCCATATGAAAGAGTTACGATGTACTCGTACTCATGTACTTCTATGATTAAATATATTTAATTTTTAAATATTAATATTTAAATATAATTTTTTTAACCTATAGTTTAATAGAAAAGCTCTAAATGCTCAGAATTAATTTTATGATATCAAATGACTTAAAGTAAACGTAATATTATTTATGTACACATTTTCTTATAAAAATATCATGTGTTTAATAAGATAAGTCTGATTTATTATTTACTATAATATTTTTCAATTAGAAATATAATATATGAAAGTGTCTAATGACACTTCTTTTAACGCTTTTAATTTTAAAGCTCTTATTTTGCCTCTTATCAATGGATATCCAATTAACTCTAATCAAAACAATAAGTAAATATGTTAACAATAAATAATTTTTGTAACGTTTGTTATTGGTATGTAAAAAATATTAATATAACATTTTTAAATATATTAATTTTGTTAAATCAACATGACTAATTAAACTATCATATATTATATAATATTTAAATACAGTTATTATTATTAAATAATTTTTTATTTATTTATTACGTATCTTTTATGATCAAATTTTATAAATATTTTTTAAATTTATAACATAAATATTATATTATCGGTAGTTCAAAATCTTTTTGTCTTTTAATATTACTTTTATTAATTTTGACTATTTAATAATTTTCTTAGTCATTACACAATAACACATAATCTCCATTGCCATTCTCATTCATTTTGCAAGTTAGGAGTTATATGTTTAACTTTTACAATAGACCTACTAATTCTTTAATTTTTGAAAACAATTGTTTTAATATGATGATATATGTAATATTTATTTATTTAATATTTTAAATACAAAAATAAATATTTTTATGATATCAAAATAAAATTCATATAATGATTTTAAATAATAATTATTTACACATTTAACGTATTAATATATAATATAATTTAACTTTTAGTTAATTATAAATTAAATATTAAGTAATTTTTAACATAAAAATTAGGTTAATACGATAACATTATTATACCGTTTTTAGTTATCTATAAAATATAGAATATGTATTATATAAATTATTGATTATATATTTTATTCATAAAACCTCATGTAAATCTTCTATTGTAGAATTATGTACTATTGAATTTTTTATAACATATTTTTCTCTAATACCTTATTTTATATTTTGATTAGAATATAAATATTTAATAAATTTATTTTGTAATACCCGAAATTAATTTTAAAATTTTTAAATTAATGTATAGAATATAATTTTTAAATTTATAAATTTTTATTTAATATAAAAATTAGGAAAAAATAGGTAGATAATAAAATTATAAATAATTTTAAGAAAAATGAGTGAAATTTTGAGTTCTGATAGTGTTTTTGAAAGAAAAATCAGAAATTATGAGTCAAAATACTATTTAAAAAATATGCCACGTAGACTGCCTAGTCAGCTTCCCCGAC